ATACATTACAATACATTTATTGACCCATTTGATACACAATACAGTATTTGGAGTCCATATAAACTTAAATTAAAAGCTAAAATTTAGGAATTCCTCCACAGAATAAAAACAGTTTTCCACGAGGAAGTTTTTAGCTAACGTGTGGAATTTTCTGGAGGATAATCCCTGGATGTTTATTTCTGGAAATAAGCTATCAAATTTATTGTAGAGCCTTATGTCTAACTTATTTAAATGTGTTAGCTGTATACGGCTATAAGAAGTCACCAGATTATCCGCTCCTCGTGTGTTATAATGATGTACCTCGGAGTGTCTTACATATTTATTCAAATTTTTATGAATTAGAATGAGTGACTCAAAAATAAATATACAAGGAAGCGGATGAATATGGTACTTCTTGAACAGTTCTTTGCAGCTTGCTTTATATTGAGCACCATCCACAATGCGCACAGCAGACTTTTGCATATAAAAGACCCTGTGAGCACTGCTGGAGTGTCCCCATAGTGTAATGCCGTAGGACAAATGGCTGTGAATAAGCGCGAAATAAATTGTTCTTAGAGTGTTATTTATCTTAATGGCAGAACGCAATTGTCTCATTACAAAGAGTTGAGAAGAGAGTTTTGAACATAGAGTGTCTGTATGATTGTGCCAGGTAAGTCTTGTATCTAATGTAATTCCTAATAACTTTACTGGTTCAGATTTAATTGCTAATTTGTCAGAACTAAACAAAATTTGTTGTGTTTTGCTTCCATTCATCTTTAATTTATTTGCGGCAAACCAATCTTTAGTCATGCAAAGACTTTCTTTGCTCAGTCTCTCGTTCCCTCTAGTAAGAATCGTGGTATCATCAGCAAATATTCTGAATGAGCTTAAGTTGTCGACAGCCCTAGGTAGATCATTTACGTATAATAGAAATAATATCGGGCCCAGTATCGAACCCTGAGGCACCCCATTGCATACTGTGGTTAGGCTAGATATTTGGTTGTTTAGACTTACATATTGCTTTCTGCCATTTAGATAAGAGTGAAACAATTCCAATACTACTCCCCGAATACCATAGAATTCTAATTTTTGTTCTAAAATAATTACGTTAACACAGTCGAATGCCTTGGTCAAGTAATAATAATAATAATAATAATAATAATAATAATAATAATAATAATAATAATAATAATAATAATAATAATAATAATAATAATAATAATAATAATAATAATAATAATAATAATAATAATAATAATAATAATAATAATAATAATAATAATAATAATAATAATAATATTAATAATAATAATAATAATAATAATAATAATAATAATAATAATAATAATAATAATAATAATAATAATAATAATAATAATAATAATAATATTTATTCATACAAAAAAATACAATAATAAGTAGGATATAAACGCAGCTTGTCATATTTAACTAATATTATAAACAACAAAAAGAAAAAGGTTTAAATACCTACACAGATTTAAAAAAAAATATATATAAAATTGTATAAATAAATAAATTACTCGATAAGCGAGTGAACGCTTGTTTCGAAATAAAACAATAACTAAAAAGAGATACTTAACTAATAACTAAAACTAAATTAAAATTACAGAAAGAACATTCAAATTTAAAATAAACTTATTTATAAAGATAGTTAAATTTAGTTTTTTTTTTTTTAATATTTTTATTTTATTTATATTATTAGAAGTAACGAAGTGGTAATTTCAAACTCCTAATTTACGAAGTGATTTTGAATCAGGCTTCGAGCATTTTCAAGAATAAACTCTTTCAATTTTGTTTTAAAATGGGTTGTATTTTTTATGTCTTTAATGTGTTCTGGTATCATATTGTAAAATTTGGGTGCCAAATATAAATATGACTTTTGTGTAATTGTTTTGAGCATCAGTGGGGACACAAAATGATGTTTCTGACGTGTATCATAGTCGTGGCTTGGAAGATGGGAATACTATTTGTTTACATGATATTTTGTTGTGGTACAGAAAAAATAGAGTTGTCTTAAATCAAGAATCTGTGTGTCTTTATATAAGGCATCGGAGGAATATCTGGCATTTTTAGCGTAAATTAGCTTTAAAAAGCGTTTCTTAGTGACTTCTAAGGAATGTATATGGGTATTCAACGCTGCACCCCAGATAACGATGGCATACCTAAGATGGCTTTCAACTAATGAAAAGTATAGTGTTTTTAGATACTTTAGCGGTAATAATTTTGTTAATTTTCTAAATTTATATAGGATACTTCTAAGTTTATTGACTAAGTATGTAATGTGTAAATTCCATTTTAAATGTTGATCTATTATTACGCCTAAGTATTTTATTTTTGATTCTGGTGATATGAAAAAGATTTCCTTGTTAACCTTGATTTTTAGTTGGTTAAAAGGTGGAGCGCCGGTTGAATTGCAACTGAATGGCAAGTAATTTGTTTTTTCAAAGTTTACTGTTAATATTTTGCTATCGAGATATCTTTTAATGTTTGAAAAGTCTTGTTCCGCTTTAACTTTTACCTCCATCCAGCTATTTGCATTATAAAAAATTGCCGTATCATCCGCAAATCCAATTATAGTACTACATGTATCTAAAGAAAATAACTCATTAATATATATATATTAAATAGCATAGGACCAAGGATGGACCCTTGAGGTACACCATACTTTATGGTTTCCGCGCCACTGCAAACATTACCCACTCTCACAGTCTGGAGTCTGTCAGTCAGATAACTTTCAAAGAGTTTGTTGCATTTTCCCCGTATTCCGATATCTTCCAGTGACTGTAAAAGTAGGCGGTGACTGACCGTATCGAACGCTTTTGATAAGTCAATAAATATACTTAGGCATGGTTTACTCTCATTTAGGGATTCTGTGATTTTTGTTGTAAGTTTTAAGATGGCATCCTCGGTACTTTTTTTTCCCGGAATCCATATTGACAGTCTGAAATTATTTTATACTTTTTGCAATAAGATTGAAGACGATTTTTTAATATTTTTTCGAAGATTTTTGAGAAATGTGTTACTAGACTTATAGGTCGATAATTAGAAATTTCTGTAACATCGCTTTTTTTATGAATTGGTATATTTATTGGAGCAATTGGGGTGATCATTTTATTGTTACAGGTTTTTAAAAATAGACAGACATAAAATTATGTACTGATTAAAGCGTTGCCAGTTTTTTCTTTAACAAAATTATAATATTTAAATTGGGTAAATAAACACCTGTGAAATAATAATAATGATAATACAATCGTTTATTACTCAATATATACTCGGCACTCAATCAATAAATACCAAGTTTCAAATAAAAGTTATATGGATTTCAAAAATAAAATATTTTTGAATAAACGGTGCGTTTTAAAACATGTCTTAGATAAGGCCAATTTTAAGTTTAATTTGCAAATTTTTTCCAAATGTATATTATTTTAGTATAAATTTCTTTGTCTATCTAACAATACCAACATGTGTGGAAAGAGAGAATGGAAGGCATTGATTTTAATCTTTTGCCACAGGCATTTTAAAAATAAGTTTTCAATTAAATGCGTATTTTTGCGTTTTTAAGAAAATTTATAAGAGCATCGTTTATTTCTTTTTTATTTATTTGTAGTAGGTATGAAATACTTGCTGGAAGGGGTAAACCTTATCTACATAAGATTTTGATGAAGTTGTTTGTGGTTTCGATGTGATTTCTGCAATTAAAAAATATATGATTCAGATCGCAAAGAGGTACAAAATATATAGAATGGTCCATAAACGAGGTGCCGACTAAACTTATACTTTTTTAAAACAAAACAACCTGAAGATAGTTATGCATATTTGATTATTTTCATATTGTCAAACAATTTTAATTGACTTCATTAATTTGCTACGTTTTACATAGGGTGTCTCAAAAAGCGAGGTTACGATATTCCTACTTTTTTAAATATAAAACTTAAGAGTGTGAATCCTTGGAACATATGTCGTAAACCGCCTAATTTTTGAGCTACAGAGTATTACAGTATTATCAAAAAATAACTCTTTCTACAGTCGCAAGGATATTAGCTACCCAAGTAACATCTTTAGATTTATAAAAGTATACAAGATAACCATAAAACCCTTTTGATAAAACTTTTGAATCCGCGAGATAGCCTTAGGGCTGCTATAAATATGCTTTAAGAGTAAAAGGGAGAATCCTATAACGGTTCCTAAAATCTGAAAATTTCAATTGTTTTTTGTTGGGCCATCTCGTCTAGAATACATTTTTTTTAATTTTTAAGGTCTTTGTAATACACAAGTATTAGAAATTAAAAATTTAAAAAAACCGACTTGAAAAACGTACAGATGCCATCACATCTTAACCAAATTTATATGGGACCACTCTTGAGGTACCCCCTTACTAACAAAAAAATAATCATATAAATCGGACAAGTTGGTAAAGCATTATCGCTAAACATACATAAAAAATAAAAAGTTTGATGATGGACCTAATTATTAGATTTTTACCAAATTTATATGGAATCACCCCTAAAGTACCCCCTTTTTAACAAAAAAAAATCAATGAAATCGGACACCGTGTTAAAGAATTATCGCTAAACATATATAATATAAAAAAAAAATATTTCGGCGAATTGAGAACCTCCACCTTTTTTGAAGTCGGTTAAAAATAAAACAAATTAATATATCTTACCTTCTACGAGACATTAACTATAACGCCGTAAAAAATGTACCACAACATAGCATTTTCTTTTAAATTAATATTATTTTCTTTCAAATGAATATTGAAATACGAAACAATATTAGTTTCGCTATTATTTCAAAAACAAAAAGCAGTTGATAAAATGTAATAGCAGTTCTGAAATGGTAATAGAAACACGAAAAACTTTTCCCATTTAACCGAGTTTGTAGGTCTTATAATAACTGAGATGGCAATACATGCAGCACCAATTTGAGACACAGTGTATGGTGTTTCACTTAAAATGTGCTTGCTAATGAATGTACCAATTTATTTTTTTTTCTTTCAGACTGATTTACTACGTATTCGACGTGTTCGACGAAGTTTTGAGGTAGGTCATTTTTTACAATTAGTTTTGGATCATTTAATGAAGAACTATTAAATGATGCGGTTGTCACAAATCGATGTTACTAATTCAATTTTTTTGTGATTTTTAGAAGTTGCGATGTTTTGTGCATTAAAATTGTGCTTAGAAACCTTTGATATCACAGGAAGATTCAAAATATCGGCCAATATATGAAAATTTTCATTTTTTTAAATTCATTAATTTGGTGTCCGATACTTTGAATCTCCCTATAGAATAAAAGGTTTTTTGGCAACATTTTAATAAACACAAAATTGTACAACTTTTGTCCAATTTAACTAACTGTTACCGTTTAAGAAATAGCAATACTGTTCCTATGAAATAGTAGGAAACCTGTATAAAAAAAATATATTTAACTGAATTTTAGTTAGTTTAGTTTAAGCAGCTCAACTTCTTAATACCTTTTTATTTTGTCAAATTTTAATTCTTTTGTTTTTCTACATACAATTACTGGTGGAATTCGTTTTGTGTTACTCTTTAGAGCACACCGAGCACCTCGAAAATTTATAATTTTTTTCGGAGCCTTTATTTTAATTTCGATTTTTGTGAATTTTTTTAGGAAATACCAACAATTGTTTTGTTTTTAATATACAAGGTGTCCCGAAATTAGACGGTCATATTTTAACAGCGTAATCTATCTCCTTAAATAGGAGTAAAAATGTGTATAAACATAGGTCCGAAAACGTTTCTTTTCCGAGATACACGGTGTTAAAAGAGAAGTCCTGATGACACTCTTTTGTAAATATAAACGTTGAAAGATAACTAAGTGAAATTTGAGATAAATAATGAAGTTTTCATGCTCTAATGGACTAAACGCCAGTTTTTGATCATCTTCATAGGTGGGTAAATTAGGGGGGCTTTGGGTAAAATTGTTTTTTGTTGACAATTTTTAACACTTTTGACTATACAATTTGGAAAATCAATGTTTTCTTTATATTAAAGCTACTATTGTTGCATCTCGCTAGGATGCACCATTTTCAAGAGAAATGCATTTGAAAATTTCATGATAAGTTGATGTTATCTTATTCGAAAGTGTAAACAATAATTAGTAGGCTTGTGGAAGGAGAAATTTTATTTTCTCTTAACTTTGGAAAACCAGTAACTAAAGAAATTTTAGAAAATATTTACGAAAATGTTCCTTTAGAACTTTACTTGTAACACCCGGTATCTCGAAAACGAAACGTTTTTGGACCTATGTTTATATGATCTTTTACTTCTATTTTATGATGTAGATTACGCTGTTAAAATATGGCCGTCTAATTTCGGGGCACCCTGTATATGTTTTATTGTAAAATATATCGGCTAAAAGGTAATAAATTAGCCAATCAGATTTTAGGTTTCACTGTGACGATATTTAAAAACCTTGTGGCTCGTGTTTCAAAGGACCCCGCACACCGTTTATGGAAAAGTGGCGACCTGTTAAATGTCATAAATTTTTAATATGTTGCAGTTATCGACCTCCTAAGCAATAGTGTTTACGGAACCATTCAAATCCGATGACTGGTTTTTGAGATACAGGGTGTTAAACTCAAGAAATACTACTTATTTGATAACGGTTATTTCAGAAGAAAGCTACTCGATTTTAATTTTTTGTGCCAAATTCTTTGGCATTCTTAGAATATAAAATGGAGTCAAAAATTATTTTCCTTTATAGGGTGGGCCACAAATAAGTAAAGACATGTTTTTGATAAATACTTTTATTGTTCATGTTCTGGAAGGTGAAAATATTCACTAAAAAATAAATTATTGCTATATTTATCATGTCTAATATTAACTAATGTTATTTATACAGAGTGATTCGTAAATATTGATATGGGTAAATATATTTTTTTATAAATAATAATTTATAAGTAAAGTAATAATAATAATGAAATGCATTTTACGAGACTTTTGTGTATTTTGCCAATTATCCCATTTATTAATTACAGGGTGATTTGATAAATATATTAATAGTTAGTCTCACAATAAAAAACTGCACTTAAAACTGGCCAACTCGACGATGGTAAACTCGGCGACGATCAACTCGGCGAAAAGGAATACAATAATATAATATGCAATTATTTATTATAATACAATATAATACAATCTATAAAAAAAATTGATTAGAGAACTTCATTAATAAAATAAAAATATATAAGAGATTTTAAAAGTGGCAATAAAATCAATTAAGGGTTTTAACTACAATTAGGGTTTCTAATACATATTATTAGAAAGCAAATTAAAATATTAAGGGAAAATTTAGAGCTTAAGATTTTTCAATGCACAATAAAAATAAGATATAATATATTAAAATATTAGGTTATGAAATAAAAAAATTTAAGTAACATATATGCTGAAACGGAATTAAAAAATAAAAACTGAAATAAAAAAAGGTTGATTATAGAATATTGTTATTTATTATAATACACATTACAATTATTTATAATACATATATTTATTATAATACAATATAATATAAAAAAACTAATTCATGTTGTAATTATGTGAGATACTCGATCAAATTTTGCCTGTTATAATTGGCCACTTTATTTAAAATCCTCTCGTCAGCTTCCTCATAACGTTTCCTTTTTGATGCGCCATTGCGCCCGGCAATTGCTCGTTCATAGTCTGCATCGTACGAAGACTGTACCTTTTTTAAATTATCTATGAATGTCCATAACGAAGGATGAGCAATGCCAGAACCAAAAGCCAGTTGCAACTTGCGATGACATGCTTCTGCAAAATTATTTGTCCTATCTCGTCCATTCAATGTTCGAAAATAAACGGACCAAACTGCTGATGGAAAAGTTGCTGGCACTCTGGTTCCATTATTCCTAAGTCGACCGATGTAATTGCTGGTAAACCATTCTAAAATTGGTTCTAATATTTCTGGCAACTCATTTTCCAATTCGGCAATCACATCCTCTTCTGGGACAAATGCCAATGATGTTACCATTTTTGCTTGTAGTGCAACTTCGGGATCAGTATTGTACATTCCTAGGAGATTGCAAGAAAATAAATGCTTTCGAAGATTTTTGACCAAGTGGAATAAGCATCCTCTAATTTCGGCTTCTGGGAAAACTTGTCTTACGGCCTGGTGAATTGCCAACTCAAAGTCGACACTGATGCTTTCCGGATTTAATTGCGGCCAAAGAACTTTTATCATGTTAAACACATTGAGATATGTTTCTGCACTTTTATTGGGCAGCAAGCAATATAGTACAGGAAAAACTGGACGCTTCTCTTCATGCGTATCTTTTCTTGCCAGAACAACAAATATTTGAGCAAAAAGTGGAGGACACAATAAGAATGTGCCGTCAACAAATAATTCTTTCATGCTTGCACTCCATGTTGCATGGTATTCTCTACCAAATATTAGAATTCGATGTGGATCCACTTGATCTCTTCCGGAATCTGCCAGCAAAAAATTCTCAAATTGAGTAGGGCTGTAATAATATTGCGAGTACACTTCTGGGATGATAATTTCACTAAGAGTTTCTGGATTGGCGAGTGCTTTGCACATGGTTACTCTTACTCTTTGAATGTTTCTCCGCATGACACTGGAACTTGGAAGCATTCCTTTAACCGCAGCTGGTACATTCTCCAAAACTCGTCCTCTGATTTGGGCAGGATTCTCCATCGTTGTCGCGGCCAGGTGCTTCACAGTGGTATTCATTTTTTGCAGAACAACATTTAATGCATTTCCTACATGTGTGTTCATTTCGTATAAATTTGAAAGAACCATCCATAATTTTGGTCCATATTCTTCCTTTGCATCTTTCATGCTTGTTTTCGCAGCGCCAGAATTGAATGGTGTTGTCCTTGTTCGTTTTATCCTTCGTGTATAGGTAGCCATCCCAGTAGTACTTTTCGTGACCCCTTTGGCTAAGAACTTTATTTTCCATCTTGAGTCTCAGTAAATAAAAAACTCACACAGACAAACAAAATTACACACAATGTCTTTACTTCTGAGATGAATTCGGAATATTAAGGAAAGTGAATATCACCAGTCTTTTATAGGATGGAGGTACAAGTAAGCAGGTAATTATCAGGTAATCTTATTTTTATTTTGTTTTGAAAAATCTTAAGCCCTTAAGCAGGCAATTATAAGGTAATCTTATTTTTATTTTGCTTTGAAAAATCTTAAGCCCTTAATATTTATTTGCTTTCTAATACTAGGTATTAAAAACCCTAATTGTAGTTAAGACCCTTAATTGATTTTATTGCCACCTTAATTTTGTAATTCCAAACAACTCTGGCCTTTAAATTTTAATTTCTTAATCAAGAAGTTTCTTTTTCAGATTCTTAGTTTTAATATTTAATATATTTTTTCCTGTATATGTTGATTTACTTTAGTAATAATAACTTTTTTCCAGTTTCTTATTTAAAATCTCTTATATATTTTTATTTTATTAATCAAATTCTCCAATCAAATTTTTTTTATAGGTTGTATCTTATTTTGTATTATAATAAATAATTGAATAATATATTATTGTATTCCTTTTCGCCGAGTTGATCGTCGCCAAGTTTACCATCGCCGAGATGCCCATCGCCGACTCGGCATCGCCGAGTTGACCGTCGCCGACTTTACATCGCCGAGTTGACCTGCTCCGTTATTTTGTAGTCGCCAATCCATAAATCTTGAATAAGCTAAGTTGTATTTTTTCGCCGATGTTTGAGGCAATAAGTCTTCTGTAATGTTATTCGCTATTTCTTTATTATGTGGTGGAGTATTATAATTATTATCACTACTATTACTATCACTGTCCATTTTGTTATTTATAGTTTTCAAAAGTATCGAAATAAAATAAATTAAATGTCAAGATTTGAAATGTCAATATTTTAAATCGGGTAACTCGATTTAAATTTTTGTTGTATTATCCCCTTTATATAGGCAACCAACATTACATAAATTATAAATTATTTTAAGTTTTTTTCTAAATTAACTGAATTTTGTAGTATTCGACGAAATATTTATTTAAATAGAT